TTAAATCAATTGTTATATTACCATACTAACAATCTACTTGTATCTTCAAGTGGAGCTTCCCATTGATGCAATAAATCCACCCTTGAGTGTCCTTTTGGTTGCTTTATTGCTGAACGATTGTTTTAGTACAATGCTAAACCTACAAACCCTCAAGGTCTCTCAACAGACAGATAACATTAAGTAGCTCAAACAGATAGTGAACAATGGGAAAGCGCTACCACTCAAGCATTAAGAGCAGACTTTCTTGGCCGGGGTTCTGTGGAATCTTAGGGTTCCTGAAGAGCAGCCATTCACACCATGGTTCCATGGAAATTTAGGGTTCCTCCAGAGGTTGCTTGTTATTCCTTGAGCTGTGGCTTATTGACCTCCCTGAATAGATCCATGTCCAATGCCATTTGGCAGAGCCAGCTGCATGATGCCAATTATATTTTTAGCTGTCTATAAGGGTACCGTTCTGACCACCACTGAGCTGCATTATTCCCACTAACCACCAATGTAGGAGTATTGTTCCCGCAGACCAACAATGGATTGGTTTTAGCTGGCCTTCCCCTAGACCAGAAAAGTATTTCAAGTTTTCCTTTGGGTAAATAAAAGGTTGAAAAAAAAAGCTGTTCTATGGGTCTTTAGGAATTCCTTGAGCCAAAAGCAATTTCTGCTTCTCATAAAAGTGACCGCTAACACCAATCTTTTAGGTATCTAGAGGTGAAGGTGGGCTCTTCTAACTGACCACAAATGTAAGCACTCTTTCCAGTGACCATCACATAAATGTACCATGAGCTGTAGATAAAGGAAGTTTTTAGCAAGGGTTGCATAGCTATCCTTGGGGGAGTGGTTTGGCATGTCACAGCTGAGATCCCACCCACGAGGTCTAAGAGAGGTGTAAAATTTCTTTCTCTTAATTTAAAAAAGATAAATGATGGCCACATTCAAATATATTAGGTGATAGGATAATACAGTCAGACCCATAAATATTGGGACATCGACACAATTCTAACATTTTTGGCTCTATATACCGTCACAATTCTAACACATTTTTGGCTCTATATGGGGTACCCAGGTGGGGGGTTGTGTGGTGTCCACAATGGATTTGAAATGAAACGAACAAGATGTGCTTTAACTGCAGACTGTCAGCTTTAATTTGAGGGTATTTACATCCAAATCAGGTGAACGGTGTAGGAATTACAACAGTTTGCATATGTGCCTCCTGGAGAGTGTTCTTGATCTGGCCAACTGTTGTGAAGGGTGTTTTCTTCACCAGGGAAAGAATTCTTTCGGTCATCCCACCACAGTTGTTTTTCCGTGGTCTTCCGGGTCTTTTGGTGTTGCTGAGCTCACCGGTGCATTCCTTCTTTTTAAGAATGTTCCAAACAGTTGTTTTGGCCACACCTAATGTTTTTGCTATCTCTCTGATGGGTTTGTTTTGTTTTTTCAGCCTAATGATGGCTTGCTTCACTGATAGTGACAGCTCTTTGGATCTCATCTTGAGAGTTGACAGCAACAGATTCCAAATGCAAATAGCACACTTGAAATGAACTCTGGACCTTTTATCTGCTCATTGTAATTGGGATAATGAGGGAATAACACACACCTGGCCATGGAACAACTGAGAAGCCAATTGTCCCGTTACTTTTGGTCCCTTAACAAGTGGGAGGCACATATGCAAACTGTTGTAATTCCTACACCGTTGACCTGATTTGGATGTAAATACCCTCAAATTAAAGCTGACAGTCTGCAGTGAAAGCACATCTTGTTTGTTTCATTTCAAATCCATTGTGGTGGTGTATAGAGCCAAAAATGTTAGAATTGTGTCGATGTCCCAATATTTATGGACCTGACTGTATATGTGGAATCTTAGGATTCCTGTAGGGCAACCATTCACACCATGGTTCCATGGAAAATTAGGGTTCCTCCAGAAGTTGCTTGGTAATCCAGGTTAGCTGGGTGGAAAAGGCACAGGCTCTTCTAGTTCAACCAATCACAAAAAAAAAAAAAAAATCCCAGAAAACCTTTGTATACACAATCCTATGCCAAGCATTGATCCACAGGAAGGTGAGAAGCCCTACAAGAGTATATAGGATTCCCTGAAACCAGAAATGTATTTTAAGGGTTTCTCATTTTTAAAAGCTTGAGAAAGGCTGACTACACTCGATGAGAATATCGGACGAATGATCTTCTGGGATTTTTGCATGGTAGTCTCATATCGAAAATGAAGAGGTTACTAAAGTTAGGAAAATTCTCATAAGACAGAATGCAACTTTGGAAGTGAAATAATGTATTGTATTGTAATGTATTCTTTTGTTTCTGAGCATGCGTGGCCTTGGGCTTCAGTTTTTTCTTCGTACAAATACTGAACTGTACTGGTATCGTATGAGAACAATTATTGAACGATTGTTCGATTTTCTTATTGTGTGTACTAGGCATTAGCGTGATGCAGCATTGTTCAGTAAAAAAAAAAAAAAGAAACAAACAAAAAAGAAGTGTTTACAAGTAATTAGTTAAACTATAACTTATAACATCATTATCGACTCACATTATTGATTATAAATCAATCATAAAGAATAATGCAACTTTGATGACAATTTTGTAACAATCATGTGTATGTATCTCCATTTTAATATGCCCTAACTTAAAGCCTCTGAAAAAAATTAGTCAGCAGATACAAAAGCTGCTGACTTTTAAAAAACAGCCACTCACCTCTCCCAGGATTCAGCAGGGTGCTGTCATTAAATTTACCGGCCATCCTCTGTCCCTGGCGCTGGCATCTTAAAGTGTTACTAAACCCACACCAGTACAATCAGTCTGTATATACAGTAAAGCATGCTTGTTATACTCACTGTGGAACTTAAGGGGTTAATCCTCCACATTGTGTAAAAAGGCTGGCTGATCCTGTCTTCTCTGATCCTCTCCTTCTTCTACTGTCCCCAATCCATCTGCAGATAATGCAGAGCTCTAGGAGTCACCCTGCACATGCTCAGTTTACTGTGTATGGCTAAAGAGCTTTTTTTTTTTCTTTGGGAGGGTGTATGTGATCAGCACGGAGCCAATCAGTGCTGTCCAGACAGAGGGTCAGGGGTTATGCAGCCTTATGGGACAGTCAGAGAAGAATGATAATTCCTCCTACAAGCTTTAACCAGTGGTCGAATGGAAACTGATATAAGTCACAAGACTGCTATATACTGCTGATGAGAAAAGGTATTTAGCAGTTTATATTTACAAAAATAATTGCATTTTCATGTTCTGTGTACTGTGGGAGACCAGATATAGTGAATGCAGGGTCTGGGGAGAGCGGATATAGTGAATACAGGGTCCAGGGAGACCAGATATAGTGAATGCGGGGTCCGGCGAGACCGGATATAGTGAATGCGGGGTCCGGGGAGACCAGATATAGTGAATGCAGGGTCCTGGGAGACCAGATATAGTGAATGCAGGGTCCTGGGGAGACCAGATAGAGTGAATGCAGGATCCAGGAGACCAGATAGAGTGAATGCAGGGTCCGGGGAGACCAGATATAGTGAATGCAGGGTCCGGGGAGACCAGATATAGTGAATGCAGGGTCTGGGGAGACCAGATATAGTGAATGCAGGGTCCGGGGAGACCAGATATAGTGAATGCAGGGTCCGGGAGACCAGATATAGTGAATGCAGGGTCCGGGGAGACCAGATACAGTGAATGCAGGGTCCGGGGGAGACCAGATATAGTGAATGCAGGGTCCGGGGAGACCAGATACAGTGAATGCAGGGTCCGGGGAGACCAGATATAGTGAATGCAGGGTCCGGGGAGACCAGATACAGTGAATGCAGGGTCTGGGGAGAGCAGATATAGTGAATGCAGGGTCCGGGGAGACCGGATATAGTGAATGCAGGGTCTGGGGAGACCAGATATAGTGAATGCAGGGTCCGGGGAGACCGGATATAGTGAATGCAGGGTCCGGGGAGACCAGATATAGTGAATGCAGGGTCCAGGGAGACCAGATATAGTGAATGCAGGGTCCAGGGAGACCAGATATAGTGAATGCAGGGTCCGGGGAGACCAGATATAGTGAATGCAGGGTCTGGGGAGATGCATGCGTATATATTATATATAATATATAGATATATATTTACAGTATATTATCATATCGCCTTACAGTCTTCTTTCATTCTGTTAATAACTAATATAGGAACCAGGCTTGTAGGAGGCATCATTGTACCGTAAAGTGTTGGCTAATATCTTACACACAGCATTTATGAGCCTCTGCATGGATTGTATGGACAAGTAAAGGTCATAGAGGCTGAGTCAGACTTCAGGGCAGATGCCGAACTAAGCATTGTGAAGGCACATTCTTTAAGTTTGCAATAGATACTCATCACTGTCACAAGGACCGAGTTCCCATTTCTCAAAAATGATGGGGGTAAAAAAAAAATAAAAAACACTGCAAGTATTGAAAAATACCTGTTGCTCGGTTTTCACCGCCTGGACTACAAAATCCCCCCTTCCTGCCTCATTTCCATAACATAAGGGGACATGTTCTGTAATCCAGTAGTGGAAAAAGTGGGTGGGCAGACAACACTACATGGGATTTCAGCGCAGCAGAAGCAGAGTTGTCAGCTCACTACAGGTAATTGGGAAGTAACAAATAAACTTTGTTTAATATAAACTACAAAGGTTGCTCCCGTTTGCATAAAAATCAGGAAAAAAAATGCTGTACTAAAATACACCTCCCTCCTTCCAATTACTTGCAATTTCTCACATAATCGGAAGGAGGGAGGTGTATTGTAGTATGTATGTATATATATATGTATATATATACAAAAACAAGCAACTTTTGTGCTTTATATTAAGCGAAATGGATATGTTTCAACTTTCATCACATGAAACAACATAGAGAAGGTGAATTTTGGCACCATACCAATATCTTACTTTTTCTTTTTGTTTATTTTTTTTTTCTTTAGTTATACTTTAATATTTATATGTGTGTGGCCAGCCGACTTAGATATTAAATTCAATTTTTTTTCTTTCAGGAAATCGTTCTATTCTGGACACGCTTCCCTTGCCATGTACGCCATGCTGTATCTCTCGGTGAGTACGCACACCATGACCATGCAGAATCTCTTGTGACTCGGGTTACCTAATGTTCCGTAAATAGGGAAGTGTGACCGTGCGCTCAGCGCCGTACAGTGACGGTAATTCTATGCAAGCCAAATTTTTGGTTAGGATGGTTTGGGGTTTTCTGCAGCTCCACAGCCGCCAACACCTTTTAATAGATGAGGACAGAAAGACCACAATATTCTTCCTGCTTCTTATTAGACGGCCTGACAGACTCAGCAAAGGATCGCTCATTTAGCTTAGCAATTTGAAGCGACTTTAGCAACCACTCTTCAGTCAATTGACTGGGAATTTAACAAAATTATTGAATGTTGAAAAAAAGTCTGTGAAAGCTGAAACTTTACAATTATTATTATTATTATTATTATTAATAATAATAATAATAATAATAATAATGGAGATATATACACAGCACACACAAGGGTTCTTCAGAAAGTTTCAAAAATCTTTTTTTAACTCTAGTAAGAAAAAGTGCAGAAACTTTTTGAAGACCCCTCGTATTATATTAAATTTACTTTATTTATGGATAAAGAAGGAAATATTTAAAGCTCAGCTCCATCCAAGATGTTTTCTTTTTATTTGGAAAGCGGGGAAATGCCTTTCTTGAGAAGTCTCTGCAATAGACAAAGGATCCGGGGAATATCCGATTGTCTTCTGGGCAGGGGCGGACTGACCATTTGGAAACTTGGGCACTGCCCAAGGGCCCGGGGTCAGTAGGTGGCCCCATGAGATGTCCCTGGTACCTTTTTCATAGGCTTTTTTTAGTTTGAGCAAGGACACAGGGGCCCCATGATCCCCTATTGCCCGGGGGCCCCATGAGTTGTCGGTCCGCCCCTGCTTCTGGGGGATCAGGAAGGAATATTTTTTTTCAGCCTACTGGAGCAAATTGGACCATTGCTTCATATGGGTTTTTTTTCCTTTCCCTGAATCAGGGGTCTCCAAACCATGACCCAGCAGCCATATTTGGCCTGCTGCTAGATTTTATCTGGGCTGCAGCAACTGTCCAGGAAAATACCCCAGGTGGCTGGCAGGGGATGTGCTGGTCTGTGTATTGTAATAGGGACCAGCATATACAGTACACTGCCAGACGGCATGACCCTGACACATGGATGTAAGGGGGGACACTGCTGGGCACACGTGGATATAAGGGGGGACACTGCTGTGAACACATGGATATAAGGGGGGACACTGCTGGGCACACATGAATGTAAGGGGGGACTCTGCTGGGCACACATGGATGTAATGAGAGACTGTGCTGGGCACATATGGATGTAATGAGGGACTGTGCTGGGCACATATGGATGTAAAGGGGATCTCTGCTGGGCACACATGGATGTAATGAGGGACTGTGCTGGGCACACATGGATGTAATGAGTGACTGTGCTGGGCACACATGGATGTAATGAGTGACTGTGCTGGGCACACATGGATGTAATGAGGTACTGTGTTGGGCACATATTGATGTAAGGGGGAACTCTGCTGGGCACACATGAATGTAAGGGGGACCTCGCTGGGCACACATGGATGTAAGGGGGAACTCTGCTGGGCACATATGGATGTTTGGGAGACTCTGCTGGGCACATATGGATATAAGGGGGAACTCTGCTGGACACACATGGATGTAAGGGTGACTCTGCTGGGCACATATGGATGTAAGGGGCACTCTGCTGGGCACATATGGATGTAAGGGGCACTCTGCTGGGCACATATGGATATAAGGGGGACTCTGCTGGGCACACATAAATGTAAGGGAGAACTCTGCTGGGCACACATGGATGTAAGGGGGGGACTGTGCTGGGCACACACGGCACACGGATGTAATGGGATACTCTGCTGGGCACACGTAGATGTAGGGGGGACTCTGCTGGTACACATGAATGTAAGGGGGGATTCTGCTGGATACACATGGATATGAAGGGACTGTGCTGGGCACACATGGATGTAAGGGGGACTCTACTGGGTACATGTGGATATAAGGGGGACTGTGCTGGGCACAAATCGATGTAAGAGGGACTTTGGTGGGCACACATGAATGTAAGGGGGAACTCTTCTAGGCACACATGGATGTAGAGGAACTCTTCTGGGCACACATGAATCTAATGGAGGAATCTGCTGGGCACACATGGATGTAAGGGGGAACCTTATGGGTATTCCTGGATGTAATTTTTTTTTTATTGTTATAAAAATGATTTTTTTCATCCCTCAAATATTTGTATAATATATGATGTGACCCTCATACTGAAACATTTGGAGACCCCTGCTCTGGATCAGCTGTAGGTATAGAGTTTTTTAAAATCTTTTTTTTATAGAGTATAGATCTATATTTATCCCAAGCATGTTTAGATTCACTTACTGTTGGTCTACGTCTGTTGGAAGTCTGTTCCAAGCATCAGCTACTCTTCCAGCAAAATAATATTTTGTGTGGTTAATATTGAACTGTCCTCCTGTAGTTTGAGGTCATGTCCCCGATGTTGACACAGACTGCACTGACTGAACCAGAGTACATACAGACTAATAACCTGTTGTCTGCCTTTTGTGACTCCGGTGTCTTGCGCAGGATATTTTGCAATATGTTGAAGACACTAGGAGTTTTCTGTTTACCTGAGAACTCTGTATTGCAATATACTGTATGGTCAATGACAGGGGGTTGAATCAGCCCACTAATGTGCCTGCAAACAACAAAAAAGAAAAATTCCCAGCTCTAACTTGCCAGCCAGAATAAACCTGTCTTACAGTATGCGTTAAAAACAGAGGTTTAGTTTGCACACATTTGCAAATACATGCCTAAGCTGCAGAGCCTTGTCACGGCACCCCAGTATTCTGTAGTTCCTAACTGTCCAATTGTAAGAGCCCCCATAGTAGAGGCACATGTATTTAATAGATAGACCAAGGGCAGATGGACCTGAGGGAGCCCACCCCTCCTTAAAGGTACAGGAGCGCACTGGACACCCACAATGGCAGCTAAAGTGTCCAGCGCGCCCCTCGACCAACAATTCAACAGTACAAAAAATGGCCACTGCTCCAGTCTATAACTGGCCTTCGCAGCAAGGAGCACATGGAAGGGCGACGCATGTCAAACAACAAAAGAGAAAAATTCCCAGCTCACACTTGCCAACCAGCCTGCAAACAAACCGAATTACCTGTCTAGCAGTATGCGTTAAAAACAGGGGTTTAGTTAGCACACATTTGCAAATACATGTGTAAGCTACAGAGCCTCATCACGGCACCCCAGTATTCTGTAGTTCCTAACTTTTAAGAGCCCCCATAGTTAACTCGGTTTGTTTGCGGGCTGGTTGGCAAGTTAGAGCTGGGAATTTTTCTTTATAGTTGTTTGACATGCGTCGCCCTTCCATGTGCTCCTTGCTGTGAAGGCCAGTTAGAGACCGGGGCAGTGGCCATTTTTTGTACTGTCGAATTGTTGGTAAGTGGGTGCACTGGACACCTTGGCTGCCATTGTGCTACATGCTGGGTGTCCAGTGCACTCCTGTACCCCAGTATTCTGTAGTTCCTAACTCTCCAGTTGTAAGAGCCCCCATAGTACAGGCACATGTATTTAATGGATAGACCAAGGACAGATGGACCTGAGGGAGCCCACCTCTCCTTAAAGGTAAAGGAGTGCACTGGACACCCAGAATGTAGCACAATGACAGCTAAGATGTCCAGTGCTCCCCCTCAACCAACAATTCAGCAGTACACAAAATGGTCACTGCCCCGGTCTATAACTGGCCTTCACAGCAAGGAGCACATGGAAGGGCGACGCATGTCAAACAACTATAAAGAAAAATTCCCAGCTCTAACTTGCCAACCAGCCCGCAAACAAACCGAGTTAACTATGGGGGCTCTTAAAAGTTAGGAACTACAGAATACTGGGGTGCCGTGATGAGGCTCTGTAGCTTACGCATGTATTTGCAAATGTGTGCTAACTAAACCCCTGTTTTTAACGCATACTGCTAGACAGGTAATTCGGCCTCATCACGGCACCCCAGTATTCTGTAGTTCCTAACTTTTAAGAGCCCCCATAGTTAACTCGGTTTGTTTGCAGGCTGGTTGGCAAGTGTGAGCTGGGAATTTTTCTTTTTTGTTGCTTGACATGCATCGCCCTTCCATGTGCTCCTTGCTGTGAAGGCCAGTTGTAGACTGGGGCAGTGCCCATTTTTTGTAATGTATTAACCCTCTGCAGCTGTCCCTTTAAGTGAACCTTCATGCTGAAGTCCAGCAGGAGGTTGATGACCTTATTAAAAGCCAATGTGATTGGCTTCACAGTGGTGTCTTCATCAGGAGGCAGTACTATCAGCTTCCTATCATTGGTAGTTGTCCATGTGCAGTTGGTGACATAATAATTCAGCTTGGCGTTAAGGCCTACCTCTGTGCTGTTGCATATATGTGTGACACCAGTGGAAGGTGGTTACTAGGGAAGTACAAAGTGCAGTTATCCATAGGAACCAATCGGCATTCATTTTTCTCTGGCTTGACTGCGTTAAACAGAAATGTAATTGGTTTGCCAAAAGTAATTCCTTTTTTGCCCTCCATACTGAATAATAGTCACTAATACCTTGTGTCCTTTCCAGTTTTATCTGCAGGTGCGGATGGCATGGAGCGGGGCCCGTCTCTTGCGTCCCCTTGTTCAGTTTGTATTGATCATTGTGGCTTTATATATTGGATTCACCCGCATATCTGACCACAGGCACCACCCATCCGATGTGGCTGTTGGCTACCTGCAGGGAGCGTTGGTTGCTTATTGGGTGGTAAGTTGACCAGATAAATGAGCCTTCATGTAACTCCATGCCAGGGTCTACTGAGTGGGTATGGGGCTAAATTTACAAACAAATCAAAAATATTAGAAATGGATTCACAATCTAAATATAAGTTTCAGGGCCCATTGGGTTGCGGTAATTCTCAGTCAAATTTTCAGCCAGCTTTTACCGCACGTTCACAGAAGAACCCTATGGAATGGCACACCAATACATACTGCAGTAGTGGGCAACATGGCGTGAGTTGTGGTGCACTGCGTTAGAGAAAATTGGTCAGCTGTGTTTTTTAGTGCATTAAGGTGTAAAATGAATTCAAATTAAATAAGAAATTAAACATTTTAAATAAAAAAAAACATAAATTTTATTTAAATTAAAAAACATATTAAAAATGAATTAAAATTCATTAGGTGCAAAATGAATGGGCTGTCTTTATGGGCCATAATGAACACATGATAACAGTGATTAACAAACCAACAACCACTGCTAGCGGTGGACAAATTTGGATTTGAAAGTTTTTTTTAGAAGAGAAGAGTTGCAAAGTAATGGGTAATGATTAGAAAGTAGAGGGATTGACTAAGCCTTGATGGGACATTGTCATTGTGCCAAGACCTACCATCTTCTATGGAGGCTTTTAAGTGACAATATTGGACAGTTGCCATGTAGGGCCTTCTAAAACACCTTCCATATTAACATATTATCATATTCCATATTAAGAAATGAGCATTTAGGAATTTTCTCAAGCTGTACATCAATGATTACAAGAAACATTAATTCCTGTTCTGTTGGAACACCTTATCGGCTTGACCAAGAGCGATGTTGGATATGACAAGCTGAAAAGTATAAATGCATATATACTTTCAGTTTGTCATTTGAGGATTAAGTGTGTCAGGGATGCGGGTGTGACCAGAAGTGTGTGGACTGACACAGGGAAACGTTGGCTTCAGATATACTAAATAATATAATTTATTAAGACTAACAATACAAACGCAGTGCAAAACTAAACATAACACAGTGCAAACAAACTGAACCAAACCTCCAACAGATAACAAACATACGATACAAGAGTAGTCAGGCAGGCCAGGTCGGTGGCAAACGGAGTACCAGGAGCAGGTGGGAGAGTGGTCAGGACTAGCCTGAGGTCAGTACAGGCAGAGTTCAGGCAGCGTCAGGACAGCAGAAACAGGATCAGGAAACCAGGGCCAAGCAAACAGTACAACAAGGCACAGACTGCAGGTCTGGCCATCCCTTAAATACACCACCTGCAATCAGCCCCAGGTGATGGCTAATTGCCGAAGTGAGCCTCTGGTTGTTGAGAGCACCCGCTGGCCAGCCGTGGTACTGCAGCCCACAAGGCAGGTGAGTCCCACCACTATTGGCAAGTCCATTCCTGACAAAGGGGTTTTATCCTTTTATGCTAGCAGCTTGTTTTTAAGTGCGCTCACTCTTACTATTTATTTTGTTTGATGTTGGATATGAGGAGACTAAAGCCAGCCATACGCCATTCATAAGGAAAGTCAAATATGTTTTGTGGGAGAATTTCGATGGCCCCATTATGTCCTTAACAAATTTCACATGTTATTTCCTTCAACTGCCATGCTAATGTGTTGAATTCTAATGTTCCGAACTACAGATATTATGAATTTATTAAAATATGCTTTAATCCACTTAAATACTTAATACACTACACCAAAAACTTTATTCCCATTGATCCTTCATACATTTCTATACTATATATAGTAAGTTGCATGAGCGAATGAATGTTTAGGATAAACAATAGTTCTACTTCTGGCACTTTCCAGGCACATGCACAATAAAGCTACAATTTTCCCTGAACCACAATCACAGTTAGGATTCAGATAAGAATCAAGAAACATTTCCCATCCTTCTTCAATCTTTTTGATTCAGTACTCTCGAAAACAATTGTTGATTTGTCCCTCTTACCTCTTTGGGATTGAATGTACATGCCAAAAAAAATCAAGATGTCAAACAAAAATCTACTAGTAAATGGCTAGCTTTACGGTCTCCCTACAGACTACACAAAAAGAACTTCGAAGGACATTTTTCTAATAACATCTTTCTAAAAACAAAAGGTATTCCAGTAAGCATGCCTGTTATTATATAAAAATATTATACTTCCTTAAACTCAATCAATCTCATACTATTCCCTCCAGCCTGTTCCCCCTCCCCTGTCTTCTCCATCTAGATCAATAAGGCAACCATCAGTCCCTCCCCTCATGCCAGGGTGCTAGGTGTAATCCTGGACTCCCATCTGTTTTTTTCAGACCCAAATTCAATCACTGTCCATGTAGACTTCACCTCCAACATCTCCAAGATACACTCGTTCTTAACCTCTGAAACCACTAAGCAACTTATTCCCTCCCTTGTTATCTCTCGCCTTGACTATTGTAACTCTCTCCTCATTGGCGAACTCATCGCAGGTTATCCCCTCTTCAGTCTATCATGAATTCTGCTGCCAGACTCATCCACCTTACTAACCGTTCTGTATCTGCCATACCTCTCTGCCAATCCCTCCACTGGCCTCCACTCAGTGTCCTCCACCCCTCTCTGCCAATCCCTCCACTGGCCTCCACTCAGTGTCCTCCAACCCCTCTGCAAATAACTCCACTGGCCTCCACTCAGTGTCCTCCATCCCTCTCTGCCAATCCCTCCACTGGCCTCCACTCAGTGTCCTCCACCCCTCTCTGCCAATCCCTCCACTGGCCTCCACTCAGTGTCCTCCAACCCTCTCTGCAAATAACTCCACTGGCCTCCACTCAGTGTCCTCCATCCCTCTCTGCCAATCCCTCCACTGGCCTCCACTCAGTGTCCTCCATCCCTCTCTGCCAATACCCTCCACTGGCCTCCACTCGGTGTCCTCCACCCCTCTCTGCCAATCCCTCCACTGGCTTTCCATTGCCCAATGAATAAAATTCAAAACATTAACAATAACATATAAAGCCATTTATAACTCTGCCCAAATTACATCACCGATCTTGTCTCCAAATATCACCCAAACCGTCCTCTCTGCTCCTCGCACGACCTCCTACTCTCTAGCTCCCTTGTCTCCTCCCCCCATGCACGTCTCCAGGACTTCTCCAGAGCCTCCCCCATCCTCTGGAACTCTCTACCCCAATTTATCAGACTATTGCCTACTCTGCTCACTTTTAGGCGATCTCTGAAAACCTATCTCTTCAGGAAAGCCTATCCTGCCTTCAGCTAATAATGGAATCTTCTACTCCTCCTACCAATCCATCCCCCACAGTTATTACCTTTTGTACCACTAGCCCCTCCCTCTTAGATTGTAAGCTCCAAGGATCAGGGCCCTCCTAACCCTCTTGTATTGAACTACTGTATATTGTTGCTGTATTGTCTCCCGTTATATTGTAAAGCGCTGAGCAAACTGTTGGCGCCATATAAATCCTGTATAATAATAATAACATTAATAAAAATCCTAACATTAGCATATAAGCACTTAATATTGTCATTTAATCCAAACATTAGTATATAAGCACCTAATATGGTACTGTAATCTTAACATTAGCATATAAGTGCCTAAAATTGTCATTTAATCATAACATTGATATATAAGCGTTGGCTCTGAGGAAGAGGTTGTGTCCTCGAAACGCGTTAGCCAGTTGGTCATCCAGGGTTCCATCGTATGGACTCAGATGTTGTTTGGATCATACACCTTGTTCAGTTTGATATACCTGTGTTATTATGTCCATTGTGAGTATGATACCTATTTTTGTTTCTTTAATAAATTATTTTAAACGATAATGCACTAGGTCGGTGCGCCCGTTTTCTGTTTCTCCATTTGTATCCAGTGTATTCGGACCACACCCGGTCTGTTGAGGGTAGCAAGCAGTGCATATTCCAGAAAATTCCAGAACATTCCTATTGGGTCTACTGAGTCCTTTCCTAGCGCAGGAGTAAAGTGTTTGTTGTGTTGTAATTGATATAAAAGCACCTAATATGGCAGTGTAACCTTAACATTAGCATATAAGCACCTAATATTGTAATTTAATCCTAACATTAGCATATAAGCACCTAATATTGTAATTTAATCCTATTCCTAACATTAGCATATAAGCACCTAATATTGTCATTTAATCCTAACATTAGCATATAAGCACCTAATATTGTCATTTAATCCTAACATTAGCATATAAGCACCTAATATTGTCATTTTAATCCTAATGTTAGCATATAAGCACCTAATATTGTCATTTTATCCTAACATTAGCATATAAGCCACTAATATTGTCATTTAATCCTAACATTAGTATATAAGTACCTAATATTGTCATTTATTTCTAACATTATTATATAAGCACCTAATATTGTCATTTTATCCTAACATTAGCATATAAGCACCTAATATTGTCCTTTATTTCTAACATTAATATATAAGCACCTAATATTGTCATTTTATCCTAATGCTAGCATATAAGCACCTAATATTGTCATTTTATCCTAACATTAGCATATAAGCACCTAATATTGTCATTTTAGCCTAACATTAGCATATAAGCACCTAATATTGTAATTTAATCCTAACATTAGCATATAAGCACCTAATATTGTCATTTAGTCATTAGTAAAGCCTACAATAATTATTTATCTTTATCAACAAAATATATAGTCTAAAATTTTAAATCTAGAGTTTTTTATGCCAAAAAAACCCGACGTTTCTGGACAAAAGCCAGGAGTGACAATATATGCAACAGACAGATAAGTCATTAAAGACAATTTTAGACCTGGTGAAAATCTAAACATAGACGGGACGGTCCCCTCCCTGTCCCTTTGTCCAGGTTATTTCTGGGAGTGGGAAATAGGAAATCTTATATAAATGAAGAATGGGTGACTTCTCCTTCTTCTCTCTGCCGGGGTCTGTGAACCGTGGGGGGAGGCGCTATCAGGAAACGTCTGTGTATCCTGTTTAATTCTGCACAAAGGATGTTCCCTGAGCTGTGATGAGCCACGTGGGGTTAGCTTGGAAAAAGAGGTATCCTGGCTTTAAGGGGTTAAAGAAGAACTCCGCATATAACAATTGTGTACGCACACTAGGTGTAAATATACTGCTGCATGGGTTCCCTATATAGAAAAGTACATTGATTTGGCACTGTCCACAGATAGAGGGTACTATATTTTATACGCCAACATATGCAATGCACAATATAGCAGCAGATACAAATGTATAGGCAGTATTGATATTAGTACATCAAAATCCAACAGTAGATCCTACATTTAATTTGTGCAGAAAAAAAGAACAAGTAGTGTGTCTTATCGACATATATGCAGTATACAGAAAAGGGGACAACGTTTGATTTGAATCTGACTTTTTGACACGAAAACTTAAAATTCTACCGTTCTTTTTTAGGGTTGTGTTTAGACTATACATTCTGTGGATAAAGAAAAAAAATTATTCTTGGCTTTACTAATGAATAAATGACAATATTAGGTGTTGGTAGCGAAGAAGCAGGGCACTCCCGACAGTCCAATCTCAAATGATAGTGAAGAACGGCCTCAGCCCCCGCTCCTCCCAAGCCAGTCCTCTGACGTATTCCGCCTCACTCTCGGAGCTTAGTCATAGAAGTCTATGACCTGGTCGAAACGCGTCAGGGACGTGGCATGGGGGGAGCCAAGGCTAAGGTCGTTCTTCATTATCATTTTATATTGGGCGGTCGGGAGTGTGGCACTTCTACACTACCTACACATGTTACGTTCGCATGAGTACTTGAGACACCGGCACCCCCTGGATCCCCAGAGCAGGGACCTTGGCGCCTTAGAGTGGTGCTCCAAGTTATTTATACAGACAATATTAGGTGCTTATATGCTAACATTAGGATAAAATGGCAATATTAGGTGCTTATATATTAATGTTAGAAATAAATGACAATATTAGGTGCTTATATGCTAATGTTAGGATTAAATGACAATATTAGGTGCTTATATGCTAATGTTAGGATTAAATGACAATTTTAAGTGCTTATATGCTAATGTTAGGATAAAATGACAATATTAGGTGCTTATATGCTAATGTTAGGATAAAATGACAATATTAGGTGCTTATATGCTAATGTTAGGATTAAATGACAATATTAGGTGCTTATATGCTAATGTTAGGATTAAATGACAATTTTAAGTGCTTATATGCTAATGTTAGGATAAAATGACAATATTAGGTGCTTATATGCTAATGTTAGGATTAAATGACAATTTTAAGTGCTTATATGCTAATGTTAGGATAAAATGACAATATTAGGTGCTTATATGCTAACGTTAGGATTAAATGACAATATTAGGTGCTTATATAATAATGTTAGAAATAAATGACAATATTAGGTGTTTATATGCTAACGTTAGGATTAAATGACGATATTAGGTGCTTATATGCTAACGTTCGGATTAAATGACAATATTAGGTGCTTATATAATAATGTTAGAAATAAATGACAATATTAGGTGTTTATATGCTAACGTTATTAAATGCTAACGTTAGGATTAAATGACGATATTAGGTGCTTATATGCTAATGTTAGGATAAAATGACAATATTAGGTGCTTATATGCTAATGTTAGGATTAAATGACAATATTAGGTGCTTATATGCTAATGTTAGGATTAAATGACAATATTAGGTGCTTATATGCTAATGTTAGGATTAAATGACAATTTTAAGTGCTTATATGCTAACCTTAGAATTAAATGACAATATTAGGTTCTGATATGCTAACGTTAGGATTAAATGACAATATTAGGTTCTGATATGCTAACGTTAGGATTAAATGACAATATTAGGTGCTTATATGCTAATGTTAGGATATTAAATGACAATATTAGGTGCTTATATGCTAACGTTAGGAACAAATGACAATTTTAAGTGCTTATATGCTAATGTTAGGTTCTTTGTTCTGGCAAAATAAGTGACAGAGGGTGGAGGTGGGGGTAAGGTAGTACGTGCTCCCCACTGAACTAAAATTAATGGGTTGGAGGACACTGACACTGCACTGGATGATGATTTTATCCTCTCCTTGGCACTGAAGTCCCCCTTCACATCAGAGACCCCTTTATATCAGGGGCACCATGTTCACATCAAAATCTACCCTTTGCATTAGGAACCCCCCACACATCAGAGTCTGCCCTTCACACCAGAACCCCCCTTTACAGCAGGAGTCATCCTTCAAATTAGAGTCTCCCTTTACATTAGAGTCTGTCCTTCACATCTGAGTGCCCACTTTACATCAGAAGCCCCCTTTCACTTTGGAGTCTCCCATTATATCAGAGACCCCTTTCACATCAGAGTCCTCCCTTTACATCAGGAGCCCCCCTCCCCCTCTTCACTTTCGAGTCTCCCTTTACATCAGAGCCCCCTTATACATCTGAATCCACCCTTCACATCCAAAGCCTCATTTCAGTTTTCAGTCCCCCCAACACATCAGGGTCCCCCTTTTATATCAGAACCCCCCTTCACATCAGAGTCCCCTCGTTACATCGGGAGCCCCCTACACACCAGAGTCTTCCCTTCATATCAAAGTCCCCTTTTACATCAAGCATCCCCCCCCCCCCCCACACACACACACTTTATTGTATCCCTTTACGTATTGATATTAGTGTTACTTATTATTTTATTATTACATTATTATTATTATTTTTATACAGTTATATTATCATTATTTATAATTTTACAGGTAGTATTACATTGTTATTTTACATAGTTACTGTATATTATCATTGTTTAGTATTGTATTTATTACATGATTATTACTATAATTATTAGTAGAATTTCTGTTATTAATATTTGAAAAAAAAATAAATGAATGTCCTAATCTTGTCTTTAGGCTTTCCACATTTCCAGTTTGTTTCGGCGGAATCGCTCTCAGACGATCAGCATCCCTCCGCGTCCCGACAGCCCAGAGACTTTCACAAACTGTTAAGTGCCAATGACAATCGTCAAGAACTGTGGAAATCCTTAATGCAAGGATGGAGAAGGCAAGACGGCTCTGCAGACCTGGATTGTGAGAGATCGCTGGGGGGGGGGGGGGGGGGGGGTATCAAGGGGTTCAAACTGAAAATCTGAGCTCCATCTTTAAGCTCGATGGACAGAGAGACACAGCCGTGTGACCCCTGAGAATCATATTCAGACATTTCTAGAAGAAGCTCCTTGGAGGTGTCCAGCGTTTTCCAGCATGTGATGAGCTATGTTCACATACTACAAGCAGAGATGGTCCTTGCTAACTCTAGGAACAATGCAACAGCCAATCAGAATGTTTCTTTTACTGGCTGGACAGAACGCTGAGATACGTTTGCCTGTTACGTGTTGCTGCACTTTACCCATCATGACTCCTCCTTATTGAATAATCCTTTATAGGCACTCCACCCATAACTGATATTTCAGCAATTAGGCGGAGTCTGGTTGCTGATCCATCTGCTGGGTTTTTTATACTTCTTGGAGAATCTGGAGGCAATATTTCCCTGCCACATGTCTAGGCTCTAAGAGTTTTGTGGATTCCCAACAGGTAGAGAAGGATCCACTTGTAAGAGCTATCCAAGTCCCGAGATCTCAGCACAGGGATCCTGAGATTTGGGGCCTGATCACACCACGGCGATTCAGTGACACATGCATTACCGCATCACAAGACAAATGCATTGGTGCGTTGGGATGCCATTCGTTTTCAGTAGCACCCCAACGCACCTGCCAGTGGAAATGCATTGCAGTGCAACATGTAGCCAGGGGTAGACTGGCCATTTGGAAACTCGGGCACTGCCCGAGGGCCCGGGGTCAGTAGGGGGCCCCATGGGATGCCCCTGGTATCTTTTTCATAGGCTTTTTTGAGTTTGGGCAAGGACACAGGGGCCCCATGATCCCTTATTGCCCGGGGGCCCCATGAGTTGTCAGTCCGTCCCTGCATGTAGCAAACACACTGGCGCACTCGTTGTTTGTAGTGCACCTTTCCACAATGCACACCAGCCACCCCCCCCATACACATTTGTCAGCAGGTGCATTGGGGTGCCATTCATTGGGATTGGCACCACATTATACCAACGCAGTTACCGCAAATATATAGTGTGGATAGGCCATTACAGAACAGCACAACGACAGGAGGTTTAACTCTTCAGTTCAGTTGCAGCTGCAGCTATGGGAGCATGTTAACCCTTAAAACAGGTGGAACATCTAACATGTTACCCAAGGTGAACTTATCCTTTAAGGTGGGCAGTCGATGGGGAAAGTAAAACCAGGGCTCAACCAACAACTTTTAGCACCCTTCCACCACCCACGTGAATAAGTCCTTGAAGTGAACAGCCTACAGCCGGTGAACATTAACAGCAGCCACAATCCTCCATTTGGCCCCAGGAGTGAAGAGAAGAAGCTCCATGACTCGGAGCTTACACAGGGTTGAGCCCCCATGTGACAATGCAGAGTGCATGAGTGACCAATCAGAAAGCCCAATTTCTATCAGGTGGGGAGAAAAGCACTATACATGGTCTATCTATTCAGTCGTATCTGACCCTTGGCAATTGCATGGACAGTCACCCGTAAATGACTTTTTCCATGAATTCTCATAGCAGTTATTTTTACAGGGTAGGTTGCCAGGTCTTTCCCCAGGAGATCCTGCATGGCCAGGGATGAAACCAGGACAATTTAGACAAGAGCCAATTAACCTACCAGCATTCTTTTTGGAGTGTGGGAGGAAACTGGAGCACCCAGAGGAAACCCACACAAGCACAGGGAGAACATGCAAACTCCATGCAGGAGGTGCCATGGTTGGGAATTGAACCCATGACCTGTTCACTGCAAGGCAGACGTGTTAACCACTAAGCCACTGTGCCACCCACTATGCATGGCAGCACAATGTTTTTTTCATCACCCCCCACCCTCTTTTTTTGATTAAGATGGAAATTTTAAGCAAGCCCCTTCGTCTGTTGAAACTTTCCAGACATCTGCATGAATTCTGAGATGCCTAAACACCCGTCTAGCATGTTAAATATGACACTCTATAAGGCTGCTACCTATTACAGATTTAATTATATGTCAGTGGTCCCTTTCCTATCATTTTCTCCACATCAGGCAGTCAATGCACTTATTCCGAACCTTAACCTGATGGGAAATTTCAGCTGGTGTGTAGAAGGAAGGTTTTTAGGTGATTTCACAGAGAGCACTTTGAAAATATTGAAATATGTTGGAGAACTCTGATCAGGGTGAGATCTTCAAGGAGCAGGACACACAGGACTTTGACTACCTTCTAAGAGGGCTACGGAAAGCAACATCACCAGGAGCCGCATATGCACCCCGAGCCACTGAAGGACTGAATGTACAGCTATTTTACAGACATGTCTGGACTTTTTCTTTACAGAAATTCCTGGCCGCTGGACGGTGCAGGAAATGAATTCTGATCTGATGCCATACATGTTTATACATTGACTGGAAATGTTCTGAGATCTGTATAGAAGGATAAATATATATTGATAACATTTATCATATTACAGTGAGTCAGTCTGGTGTCAGTGTCTGGAAGTGATGTGTGTGTGTGGGTGATCCGCATGTGGGGGTGTTCAGGTTTACATACCTTTTCCCAGATCTATGTCATATACAGGTGAGAACATGTAGACGTGACACAGGAATGTGAGAGAACGCAACTTTCACCCTCTGTCATACAATCATTTATTTATGATTTGTAATGAAAAAGTTCTATGGAAACCTCTGTATGCAAGGAAATTACATTTTACAGTTGAAGTTTAATCTGATAATAATTTGCCTTCCCTGGTTCATCTTTAGGTCTGTGCTTCTCTATGCAATGCAGGCAGAAAATGGCTGGTGGGAGGGGCCAGCAGGGTGCTGTACATAGATTCCTGAAAACATCACAGCACCCTGTCTCAGCATTCCTCTCAAAGGCCCTCAATCTGATGCAAGCAGTGGGCTGGCTCCTGGGAGGAGGTATACAAATACCAAAATTTCTTGGTGGGTGGGTGACAACCTGGAGACTTGGGTAGACATCACTGGCATAAAGACCACCCTAGGTAGCACCCATATGTGATGCTGAGCATCCATGATTGAAAGAGCTGAAATTCAATGTAGGAAAAGGGGCAGGCCAGGGGCAGTAAGACTGGGAAGGAAAGAGCTAGATGCTGCTGGATGTCCTCCAGCCAGGAAATATGACTTGCTGCGGATTCTAATAAACACTGTGAAAAGACTAGAGAGCAGGTGACTACTGCAACCAAAGCTGTTTTTTTTTTAAGAAAGAAAGTATTCATGTATTATAAATGTAACAACTGGATAAAGAAGTCTCTGTCCACCTTTGAAAAAGTATTATTGTAACAAAGTTATAAAAAAAAAACCCCACCAGGTCACAGCTCTTCAGGGGCGGAGCTGTGACGCCATGCACTCACAGTTTTCCAGGTTAACTGACTCACAGGCAGACTGAGGACATCTAGTGGCTAAAGAAATTGCTGCAGTGGGACAGAGTTGGAGACTGGAGAGAGGGTGACTACTGCAACCAGAGCTGTTTTGTTTTTTTTTTTATAATTTTCAAACCTCTGGCGGCACCATTTGCAAAAAAAAAAGGCCTGGAGTAGGACTTTAATCAAGGTAATTGCAGGGTTTTCAATTACTTTTACAAATATATAATATATCTAAACAATGCATATCAATCAGTAACCATAAATCATGTGAATAAATGTATAAACCAGACGACTGAAATCGTGGGGAAAGAAAGAAAGAAAGAAAGAAAGAGAAAGAAAGAGACTCCATGTATTATAAATGTAACAACTGGATAAAGAGTTCTCTATCCGCCTTTGAAAAAAGATTATTGTAACAAAGTTATATGAAAAAAAAATTAAAAAAACACCAGGTCACAGCTCTTCAGGGGCGGGGTTGATTGACTCACAGGCAGATTGAGGACATCTAGTGGCTAGAGAAAGAAAGAGAGGAGGTGACTACTGCAACCAGAGCTGTTTTTTTTTTTAATTTTCAAACCTCTGGGGGGCATCATTTAAAAAAAAAAAAGGCCTGAAGTAGGACTTTAATCAAGGTAATTGCAGGGTTTTCAATTACTTTTACAAATATATAATATATCTAAACAATGCACATCAATCAGTAACCATAAATCGTGTGAATAAATGTATAAACCAGACAACTGAAATTGTGGTGAAAGAAAGAAAAAAAAAGAAAGAAAGAAAGAGACTCCACCGCATTATAAATGTAACAACTATATAAATAGTTCTTTATTCGCCTTTGAAAAAAAACCATTGTAAAAAAGTTATATGAAAATTAAATAAAACACCAGGTCACAGCTCTTCAGGGGTGGGGTTGATTGACTCACAGGCAGATAGTGGAGAAAGAAAGAAAGAAAGAAAGAAAGAAGAAAGAAAGAGAAAGAAAGAAAGGAGGTGACTACTGCAACCAGAGCTGTTTTTTTTTTTTATTTTCAAACCTCTGGGGGCACCATTTCCAAAAAAAAGGCCCAGAGTACGACTTTAAGAAAGGTAATTGCAGGGTTTTCGCTTACTTTTACAAGTATATAATATATCTAAACAATGAACATCAATCAGTAATCATAAATCATGTAAATAAATGTATAAACCAGACAACTGAAATTGTGGGGAAAGGAAGATAGAAAGGAAGAAAGAAAAAAAATCTATATTTATTATAAATGTAACAACTGGATAAAAAAAATCTCTGTCCACCTTTGAAAAAGGATTATTGTAACAAAGTTATAAAAAAAAAAAACCCCCACCAGGTCACAGCTCTTCAGGGGCGGAGCTGTGACGCCATGCACTCACAGTTTTCCAGGTTAACTAACTCACAGGCAGACTGAGGACATCTAGTGGCTAAAGAAATTTCTGCAGGGGGACAGAGTTGGAGACTGGAGAGAAGGTGACTACTGCAACCAGAGCTGTTTTTTTTTTTTTTTTTTTCAAACCTCTGGGGGCACCATTT